GAAAATCCTCAAAGTACTACTGCATAATCCCTTTTCTTCCCTGTCTCTCCTTGACTCTGGACTTTGTTAAAAAATTTTAGCAACAATAAAAACTAATCACAGTGACCATACCATAACTATTACTTATTTGGTGTGTGCCAGGTGTGTACTTTAAGCACTTTCTGTGCATTAAATTACTTAACCTCAAGAACAACCTTTAAATTGGTATGGGTAGTAACTTTATAGACATTTCTTGCCTAAGCTTGTATATTACAAAAGCAAGATTATTGTTTTGAACATGTCTTTTAATGTATCATTTTTTCCTCTTATTGCTCTTTGCTTTGTTTGTTTCTTTGGGTACTAGAAATAGAATTCAGAACCTTGTGCTTTCCAGGGAGGGACTTGTCCCACCCAGCTATATCCCTAGCACTCTCTTCTTTGTATCTGAAAAATTTCTCTCATCTGTTTCCACTGTTAACCTATGTCTCCAAATTTTTATACTTCATGTGGAGGTATAATTCAAGCCCCACAAAATATTCCATTAATATTTTAACAAAATCTTTTTATCCTGTAAGTTTTTATAAACTGTACTTCATATTTTAACAAATTTCTTCTTGATGTGTACTATTTTGTTTATAGATTTAATTTGTCCAAAGTATTTTAGGGTTAATACTGTCTGAGTCTTAATGCTTTCTTAATTTCCTTTTTCAAACATTTGTTAAATACTAAGTCAAACTGTGTTTCCCTGAAAATAAGACCTAACTGGAAAATAGCCTTGAAAATTAAGATAAAAAATACCAACTCTAATCACCTGGCCCTACCTGCAATTGCAGAGTAGTCATTGAGCAGTAGAATAGTGAGGTATAATCTTCAGTATGACACTAGCCATCACCATGGTAACAACCAGCCCCAGTTTTCCAATTAGGGCTTATTTTGGGGGGAAACATGAGATCAATAATCCTGGACCTCATACTGTGTCATTGGGAAACCCTGTTGTGTTAGCTTTTCACCACTATAACAAATACCTGAGATAATTAGCTTATTAACAGAAAAGGGTTGGTTTTGTTCACAGTGGTTTCAGTCTGTGGTCTTTTAGCCCCATTGCTTTTGAGCCCGGGCTGTAGTAAATCATGGCAGGAATGTTGTTACCTCATGGTGGCCAGGAAGCAAGGAGAGAGGAAGAGGAGGAGACAGTGTCTCCAAGCCCCTTTTGAAGGCACCCCTCAGGCCTATCCCCTTTTTGAGGGTACTTCAGCAGGCTGAGACCCCTCATTAGGTCTCACCTCTTATTCAGGTTTCTACTGCCTTCTCGTAGTGCCAAGCTAAGAAACAAGCCTTTATTTAATGCATGAATCTTTAGGGGGAATTCCAGCGATGGTGCCCGTGCTTCTCCACCAAGTCTCAGCTCTACCTAAGTGTGAGCTTAGGCACACTAGTTTTTAACATACAGAAAAGAATATCTACATGGTGCAGTTATATTGGATATTGGAGATAATGAGTATAAATCTCTATCAGAGAGAGTTTTCTATTATTCACATAGCTTATGTGTTATCAGTAGTTTCCCCAACTCCTCATGTTTATTCACATACCTCTATTCATCCTGGGTATGGTGGCACATGTGTGTAATCCCAGCAGTCTGGGAGGCTAAAGCAGAATCACAAGTTTACAACCATTCTGGGTAGCTTGGTGTCTCTGGGTTGATCCCCAGTACGATCCCTTCCAGTCTGTTCATGATCAGATGTCTTGCTAAAGTAACTCCTTTTTTCTTACAAAGTATATTTTGTTAGTATTAGTATTATGAATTTGTTCAGGCTACGAACAAGATGAAGTGTTGTGTCATCATGCCTTTCAGAACCTATCTTCTTGAATCTTCTATTAGAAGCCTGCCATCTACTGATAAGAGTAGCTATTTATAATGACAAGCTTATTTCTTACAAGTCTTGGTTAGATGCCACCTGGTCTTCATAACTCAGTTGCATCTGATTTGTGGATTAGATGTAAAATATTCAGCACATTATTATAATTTGAAGTAATGGCTCTGATCAGACTCCTTCAAAAGACATTGGCAGTGCATTTCAGAAGGCTTCTTAATGCAATTTTCAGTTTTGATGGCTATTTTGGATTTCAGTTTCTGCTCACAATGCATGATTTTTATTCATGAATCTGAGTTCTTCACTTCTGACATCAGGCGTTTGAGGTTGCATTTTACAAATGTGAATCCCTTCATGTGATTGCTAGATGATTTAGGTTTTGTTTCTGCCTCGTGTGTTCTTAAAAATACCAGCTGCTGCTTAGCCAGAAATGCAATTTAATTTGACTGACACATGAGTTTTATGGTTCCTAAACATGAATATATTTTGCTTGTTTGTATTTGTAAGACTGTTGGCCCATATGGTAATGTGTTCCTTGATTCATTTTATTTCTTTATTTTAAAAACCAATAAAAACAACAACAAAATGTTGGAGAAAGTCATACTTGTTCAGTTTTTTAAAACATGCTTCTATTTTTATTTTTGGAGTTCACACTTAAGTTTACAGAGTTCCTTCCCATTCTTGTATTTTCCCAAATCTACTTTAAAAATTTTATTATTTTGCTAGCAGAGAACAGCTTTAAATAGTGATATAATTTATATTTGATATAATAATATTCATGGAACAGCTACTTTTTTTTTTTTTTTTTTTTGAGGTAGGTCTTGCAGTGTAGTTCCAGCTGTCTTTGAGCTCACTATGTAGCCTAGGCTAGCCTCGAACTCACAACATTCCTACTGTTTCAGCGTCATGAGTGCTACGATTACAAGCATGTGTTGCCACTTCTGGCCCAGGAAATGCATTTTGGATATGTAAAAGAGATACTTCTCAGTTGCTTGGTACAATCTTGAGAATCCAGTGACCTGGTCTGTAATGGCACATGCCTGTAGTCTTGGCACTCTGCGATGCTGATCACAAATTTGAGCCCAGGCAGTTTAAGGACTTTGAAAGACCCAGTTTCAAGATAAAAATAAACAAAGGGCTAGAGATGTAGCTCAATGTCAAGACCTTGGGTTCAACTCCAATTCCAAAAACAAAAACCCAAACCTAATGGTCAGATTCAGTTACACACTTAGCATATTGTAAACTCATTCAGTTATACTGATGGATCTTAATCACTTATGAATGAGAAAGCATCTTACGAAATGGGTGATTACTTTGTCTATTCTTGCTAGAAAGCTTCATAAAATAAACAAAAGGCCATATGGCATATTACAGTAGATCTGAAAAATGTTTATAAAGATTGATACACTCTAAGCAAGGAGCAACTGTGGTTAGAAATAGCAGGTGGAACAGGGCACAGGACAGTGCAGGCTTCATTCATGGAGATGATGTGGAATTTGAAGGTGTGATAGGCATTCAGAAGACAGTGCTGTTCTAAGTAGAGATGATAGTATGAGCAGATACATAGAAGCAAGAAAGCATTTGACCCATTCAGTAGCCCCGAGTATGGAGATCTCTGTAGGGATGACATTTTCTGATCCCCCCTGAGTTCTGCATTGTGCCTAACATAATATCCTTCTCATAATGCAAACTCAACATTTACTTGCAGAATTGAACTGCAGCTTTGACTCTTATGGCTTCTGAGACCACTTTTCTCTGTGTCCTGATATGGCCCACTTATATTCCCACATATGTCCTTTTACAGTGAACAATGGTTAAATTGTATACTTTCAGTGAAAAATTGCTTAAAAAGTTAGCTTTCAAATGAAATTTAAAACTTATTCTGTTAGCAGGAAATAGCTATTAATTCCAATCTCATATTATATTTCTTAAGTTGTATCTGAGAAAAAAAGGTGTCTCTTGGATATGGAAAGAAACACTTCTCTTCAGTTACTTGGTTAGCTTTTTGGAAAAATTAGAAATGATCATTCAGCTGGGTGTGCGAGTGCACACCTGTAATCTAGCACTCAGAAAGCTGAGACAGGTGAATCGTTGTGAATTTGAGGCCAGCCTGGGCAATATAGTGAGCTCAGAGCCAGTCTGAACTATGTTGTGAGACTCTGACCTTAAAAAAAAAAAAAAAAAAGAATTAGTAAAGGATCAGATAGACTTTTGTTTATATAAAAGTTAAGTGAACTAAGCCTTACTGCTGTGGCAATATAATGAATATGTAAGTTTATGTGTAATAAGAAATAAGGCTAGAAACTATAAAATCCTTTTCTAAAATACAGTTTTCTAAATGCTTATCAATTTTACACAACATTGAGTTGCAGTGTGTTACTTTCATACACGGACATAGTTTGGTCATCTTCATGCCCTTTTTTACATTCTTCTGCCTTCTCTATCTTTTTCTCTTCCTTACATCCAGCATTATTCTCATGGTGCTACAGTTACTATTTTACAGAAGGAGAAAAGGTTAAATAACTATATGGAACCAGAGTAAGAGGCTGGAGGGATTTTTAATTTCTTCAAAGCTTTCAAAAGGAATTTTTAAAAACCTGATCATCAAGCTAAAAATAGTTGGGTTTTTCTTCTTCTTTTTTTTTTTTTTTGACACATTTTATGTGTTAGGAATGATATTAAGTATTTTAAAGTATTCTTTACAAATGATGAAAACTTGATATCCTTCCCACTTCAAATTTAGGAAACTGAGGATTAAAAATGGAAATAATTGCTTCGGTTTATTTCATTAATAAATAGCAGAGGTTGTATTTGAATGCCCTGGGTCTGAGAACTCCTGAGCCTGATCCCAGCAAGTCTGCATTTTCAAGGTAGACAGATTTTGAATGTTTGAGCTCATGTTGCCTCCTTCATTTGCTCCTGACTTGACTAAGTGCCATAAATGAAATCTGGGCAATATCTAAAGAAATCGTTGATAATGAATTGTAAACATCTTGTTTGAAGAACACCCAAGCCTTACGCATCCCTGTGTACATAATTCTAGTTATGGACATAGGAGTTCCAGCTAAATAATATAGACTTGTTGATATTTGCTGAGGTTGGAGGACATTATGAAAAGTACTGGCTTCATCCATATTTTCTAATTTGTAGGTTTTAAATGCACAGCAAGCTGGATACAAAGCAGCCATTGTTCACAATGTTGACTCTGAAGACCTCATTAGCATGGGATCCAACGACAGTAAGTACAGGTATCACTTTTCTTCTCTCCTGTTCCTCCGATCATTTGAAACTAAAAATGAACAGCACTTTCCTCCTCTCATTATCCACTTAAACAGAAAAATGTGTTCTCTATCATATAACTCCAAATTCTTAATTGTCTTCGGATGATTTTATTAAAAAATAGGCATGATTGACTTGTTCTTTTCTAAGCACTTAAGGTTTTCTTTGTTTTGTCAATATATTTTATTTATTGATGTCTTGTAAAAAACAAGCCTTAAGTAGGCATAATCTGAGTTATGAACAACATAGAAAAATATTTGTTATTTAGAGATTCACTATTAAATTTTAGAATACATAAGTCTAGTTTTGCATTTGAAATGATAATGTCTTTTCTTACTCTTTACTTTTTTCTTTTAGTATATAGTATGATAGCTCTTGCTACTAATTTTTTTTTGCTATTATTGACATTTCTTATATATTGTATCAGTGTTTTGCATATCAAGGGCATTGATATCCAAAAGGACACTGATATTCAGAATATATTAACATCACATATCTGTTTACTCTGTTGGTTTTTCCTTTTGGTATGCAGAAGGTAGGGCAAATGACATATTTTTCTTCTCCTGTTTTAAATATTACCATGTAAAAAATTATCTTGATTTAAACATCAGAATTTATAGTGAGTACTTGATCTTGTGGTTCATAGCCCTTGGAACTGGTTCACTGAAGGAGTTTGGAACGGTTTGAAGATGCCGGCTGGATAAGCAGCTCCAGAGTGCTGTAAATTGAATTTAATGAGAGACTCTCATGAAAGCTCAGAATATCTGAATTCTGACAGCAGCTGGCAAAGAGCAATTATAAGGACCCCATTGTCATTTGGACTCTAGGCCATGTGTGTTATGCTCTGGTAGAAAATTTGCCTATGTTTTGCTTGCATACTGAAACTATTGTGGTAGATTGAGATTAAGGGTTATACACTAATTAATTGGGTAGAGGAAATTTCAAGACAGCCTAATGTTAAGGCTGTGGTATGGGTCCTCCTGGGACTTTAAAACAGTTCTATGTAGAGAATCAAGAGAAAATGATACAGATAAATGATTTAAAAGTTTGTTTTTCTTTTTCTTTTTTTTTTTTTTTTTTTGTAAGGGGTGCCAGGAATTGAACTCAAGACCTTATACTTGCTAGGCAGGCACTGTGCTACTGAGCTACATTATACAGAATTTGATGTATGAAGGTACTGTAAAGGAAATGAAGAGGTCAAGAGTGATCCCAGGTTATTTATGTTGAGAAACCAGGTCATGCTATTTACAGAGATGAAAAAGAGAAAAGTTGGTTTAGGGAACAAAAAAGACATCTAGAATTTTATTTGAGAGACAGTAAGTTTAAGGCTTCTGTTAATCAAATGGAGATACTGAATAGGCAGAATGACGTTCAAACCTGGAGAAATTTGAGCTGGCTGTTGAAATTATCATTTATCTGTGATATAATAGTACTATTTGGAAGGATATATTTCACATTTGTTTGGTCAGAATTAAAATTTAGTGTTTTTTAAAGTTATTTTTATGAATTAGGACATACGTGTTTATGATCATGCTGACAATCTTTGTGGGGAACTGGTACGTGTGCATCTTAATTCCTTTCTCACCCCCTTTCTCATCTCTCCCTCCCCTTTGCATTCATCTCTTGACCTCCTTCCTTTTTTGGGTACATATTTATAGTACATGATGTTTGCACTTCTTGTGTGGAGTTACTACACATTCGTAACTCATATTCTTTTTTTCATCTCTTCTACCTGTTTTCTCATCGCCTTCTCTTGATCCCCTTCTTCCTTAAGAAAAATCTACCTCCTTACTTACTATTGTCTTTTATTTTGCTTTTTATCTATATATTGTGTTTCTTAGTAAGAGAAACCATACAATACTTAAGCTTGTGTGTCTGATTTATTTCTCCTAACTTTATGGCCTCAAGATGCATTTATTTTTCTAAAATGACACAAGTTTATCCTTCTTTTTGGCAGAGTAAAACTCTATTATGTGGAGTTAAGGGCATCATATTATAGAGATGCATACTATCTATGTTTATAGCAACACTTAATAATAACCAACTCTTGGAGGTAGCCAATCTGCCCATCAATAGATGAATGAACTAAGAAGGTCTTCTGTTTTTAGTAGATAAATAATGTGAGTTTTTAAGGTGGTTGTTCTTATTTGCAAGTAGTGTTTTCCCTCTTTTCATCTTAATCTTTTTATTAATATGAGGCATTGTCTGCCTCTCTTTAGATACCATAATTTGAAAGAGGTTATGTTATTTCCAAAAATTATAAGCCAATAGTTGCAAGCCAATAGTTTCTCCTTGAGTTTAACAGACTATCTTTATGAGTGAAGCATCTTACAAAGAGTATGTAATTCAAGTTTTTATTGTCAAAGTAAAACTGATACATCATAAAGAAAAATCTTTCAACAAAATAGAAAATATCTCCCTAAAAGATAGATGATCTATAGCAATATCCCTCTTGTTACTACAGATGATATTTATTGACATGATAATGTGTACCCTTGAGTGGAATTTTTCTTGTTGTTTTTTTCTATTATTATGTCATTGAGATAAAATGTTTATTGATCTCACTGGTTGTGTGTGTGGGGGGGGGAGGCAGGGTTGTGTTTGTGAGAACTGATGTCTAGATTTATGTAAAAATGTGGAAAAAATCCATGTAGTATACCAAGGATACTAGGATTTAAAACTTTTTTTAAAGGAATAAACAAAACAGAACATCTGTGGTTTGAAGAAAAAGAGCAGTGGTTGATGAGGTTAGGAGGAGGCATTGACTATAAAAAGAAATGAAGTTTTGGGGAATGATATAATGTTCTATATCTTAGTTGTATTTATGTGATGTATGTACTTGTCAAAACTTATAGAACTGTTGATTATTTCAAATAAAATAAATATATTCAGGTGAGAATTTTTTTTTTTTCCTCTTGTACATTCCCTACTTCTAAATGCATATCAAGGGCCAGAGTTATAGCTCAGCAACATAAGTGCCTGCCTGGCAAGCATAAAATCCTGAGTTCAATTCCAGGTACTGCAAAAAATAAATAAGATACATATCAGATATGTATTTTTAAAAAGTAGAAAACAAAGTTATTTTGAAAACTATAACAAAAGCAAAACAGTTGGATTTTCTCAGAAGCCAGATCTCACAATTAACTCGCAGCTAATAAGGTTGCTTTTTCTATTGATAATTTTAAGAAGATTGTGCTTTTAGTCTAGCTTATTTTGTTTAACATGATGATCTCTAGTTCCTTTCATTTTCCTGGAAATGGTATGATTTCATTCTTCTTTGTTGTTGAATAGTGCTCTGTGGTACTACATTTTTTACCACTAATCTGTTGATAGGCACCTTGGCTGGTCCTGTAGTTTAGTTATTGTGAATTACCCTGCAATGAATATAGGTATGTGAGTATCTTTCTAGTATGCTAACTTGAATTCTTTCAAGAATATACTGAGGAATATATAGCTGGGTCAAATATTTGTAGTTATTTGAGGGACCGCCATACTGATTTTCATAGTTATACTAATCTGCATTCCCATCCACAGTGTATTAAGTGTTTCTTTTTCCCCAAGCCCTTGCCAAAAATATTGTTTTTATTTTTGGTGACAGTCATTCTCATTGGGTGAGATGGAGACTTGATGTAGTTTTAATTTCTATTTCTCTGATGATTAAAGAAGTTGAATATTTTTCATATACATATTGTTCATTTTTCTTGAGAGGCATTTGTTGAGTTCATTTGCCCACATATTAACTGGATTATATGATGAGGTGTTTCTTGGTTTGTTTTGAATTCTTCATATACAGTATTCTGGATACTAGCCCTTTGTCAGAAGAATATCTGGCAAGGATTCTCTCATTTTGAAGCTTGTCTCTTAAAAAGCAGAAGCTTTTTTAAATATATTCTTTTATGCAGAATTAGAAAAAAAAATACCCACAGAGAAATGAAAGTAGAAAGGACGAGGGAGAGAACAAGGGGAGGGGGAAGGGAAGGTCAAAGGATAGTGTGGAGTGTTGGAAATGGTGAACATATGTTACATACATGCGTAAATGTGCCAAAATGATGCTCATTAAATTGTAAAAGTATAATATGCAGCAATAAAGTTTTTAAAATTGAATTTGCATCAAAGAAAAAAATGTACAATGAATTCGATAGTTGTGGACTAGCAATTGGTTAAGTTATAAACTATGAAGTCATACATTTGAAAGAAAAGAAAAAATTGTTCTCTTCTTGAGATATGAGTAATGGGTAACTTTTACAAATTTCTGTTTTGGTGGTTTTGATTTTGGCTTTAAGTTTAGATGTAAGAGTGACATTTCTTTAGAATCCAGTTAAAACACAAAGCTTCACCATGAACTTCCACTCAGGGGAAGTGGAAGTTTACACACCCTTGTTGTCCCTTGCCTTTTAGCAACTCCTGTCAGCTTTAGCCTGGAAAGCTGGAGTGTGGTGTTATTTTTCAGATTTCTATAAGGCCTTACATTCTTGTATTTCTCCTAGAAATGGGTATGTAAAAGAAGCTTTTTCTCTTTTTTACTTAGGAATTATATATGGGAAACAAATGTAAAATTTTTTCCTTGTCTTCCTTTTCTAACAGTTATATCTATAGAGCAATAAGTCAAATGGAAGTATTAAAGATAATTATTTTTAAATATTTTAGGACAAGTGAAATTAAGTGAGGTAATGTAGACATGTAAAATATTAGCTTTGAAAATCACAAATGTTAATAAAAGAAAAATCATAAATGTTATATCTATATTTCTAAACTATTTTGATGGTTAGTATAAATGTATAATGTCAGAAATAAACTATTAGAAAATGACTCCCAACTGTAATTATTTCCAGTTGTATTTGCTGCTGTTATGAAGAAAATTAAGTTGATTATACACTAAGAATGGGCTTTTGCAAATAATTTTATTATTCTTTTATGTAGTTGATGTGTTAAAGAAAATTGACATTCCCTCTGTCTTCATTGGTGAATCATCAGCTAATTCCCTGAAAGATGAATTCACTTATGAAAAGGGGTAAGTAGTAATTACCAAAATCATCATGTAACTTAAAATTCATTACATTTGGGTAGAATTTTATATTGTTAGTTGTAATCAATATTATGTTTTATGAGCTTGTGCTAATTATCTCTTTTTAAATCATAGTTTTCAGTTACTATGTTGTTTTCTGTGTATGATTATCTAAAATATTTTCATGGAGTCACTAATGTTACAATTAATGTTGCTAAGAAACAATTTAAACATTTAAAAACTAATAAAGATAAAACTTCCCCTTTATACTTTAAGAACAATGAAATTACATTTGTTTGTATTTTATTTAAAAGAAAGTTATTATTTTATAAACATGGAATCCAAAATACGGTGTAAGTAATTTCTACAGACAAATGTCAGTTTATGGTAGAGGGCATACTTGAGGCCCTGGTTCTGTCTCTACTAATGCCCAAAAGTTTTAAATTTGGATTACAAACTTCTCTGACAGCCCCCACCCTGACCCCGTCTCATTATAAACAGAAAACATAGACTAAAATTAATTTAAGGCATTGCTTCCTCATCTGTAACAATGCAGCTAGCATTTCAAAGCATCTTTCCTGAAACAGATTCACAAATGCAGTAATAATAACAAAAAGAAAAATAGAAGCAGCTAATATTTGCTAAGTATTTAGCAAGTGCCTGGCCCCTATGAAAGCAAAACTTTGTTATTCATTTAATTCTTACAAATGTTACAGGGTGTTACTATTATCATTTATAATCTACATTTGCCAAAAGAGAAAGTTAGAATTAAGAAACCTAATTCTAGTTATTTAGTAAGGGTAGGACCCATGAATATTTGAGTTTAAAAATGCATAAAGAGGTTACAATTATACTTACTTTTGTCATTCTCTTCTGTATTCATAACTTAAAATCACTTTCAAATATTATATGCTCAGACTATCTTTATTAAGTTAGGGGACATAATTTTAAATGTTGTATTAAAAATTAGTTATACAACATAGTATTTTGTCAACTGTGTTGTGTAGTTTGTAGATGGAAAGCTAATACATGATATTATCTCAGTATTGTTCCTTTATTAGAAAAAAACCTTAATGTTATAAGGAATCTTTTGGGCCGGCCATGTAGTTCTGTGGATTAAAGCACCTGCTTAGGCAGACACAGGGGTCCAGGTTTTTTAACTGTAAAATAATCATACTTCTTTACATTAAAAAGTAATACACATACACTGCTAAAATACATAAAACTTCAGAAGTAGAAAACATTTGAAGTGAAAGTTTCAATGGTTCCATTCTCTAGCATAGTTGTTATGTGCTTTTAGTTTTCCCTTGTTTGATTACTTGCACTGATTAACTGTAATATGTGCATAAAATAGAATGATATATAATGTTTTGTAAGTTGCTTTATTTATTTAATAAAACTTTCCATATCTGTACAAATTCACAAAAATTTTATCCTGTATTTTGGATACATGTGTTGAAGAATTGAAAGATGTTCAGAATTTTAAAAGTTGGTAACACTCAAAATAGGAGGCAGTATAATCAAGCAGAATAATGTAACTGCAGTGAATTTCTGGATTTTTTTTTTAATGTCAGTTGAACTGCTAAGTACACACACTCATTCACTCTCATAAACACACATCTGAATGTATTTGCTCAGTGTGAAGGTCTGGGGTTAAACCCACTGTGGAAAACAAAACAAAAACACCCAAACAAACCCAAAAACTAACAAACAAACAAAAAAGACACATGGAATGTATCTCTGTATGTTGATGCTTTCAATTGGAGACAGAAGTTTATTTGATTCATTTGCTTTGAGAATACAGAGAACAGTTCCCCTCCTGCACTTGTGATCTTTTTTTGGACAAGGACATGGTACAGGGGATTGACTCTGGGACCTTCACAGGGAATCAATCCCCAGCCCTTTTTGTTTGTTATATTGAGACAGGGTCTTATTTAGTTGCCCAGGCTGGACCCAAACTTGTAATCCACCTACCTCAGCCTTCTAGAATGTTAATATTCTGTGCACTACTACACCCAGCTCAACTATGATAACTGAATTCAAAACCAGCAAAACAAGTTATATTCAAAGAAGTCTAAAATCTAATTATCACCCACCTTGTCTATCTTGTTCCCATTTTTGCCTTCTAAATAACAACTAGTAAAAATGTCCATTAAAGTCTTTGGCAAGTACATATTATCTGTTGTCTTCTACCATATATCTAAATACTATTCCCTGTCCTGCTTTGACTTAACAGTGTATCTAGCATGTCAACCATATGAGTTGACAGATACTCATTATTCTTTTTATATCTGCATAGAACTCATTTTGTAGGTATGCCTATGAATCAAGTAGTGCCCTATGGATGGGTAATGGGTATTTGAACTGTTGACATTTCTTTATCTATTTTAAGACGTGCTATAGTGAATGACCTTACAGATGAGTGTTTTATTGTTTGGCTAGTATACTTTGGGAATAGGTTTCTAGAAGTGGTGTTCTTGTTTTATAGGTTAAATGTATATTCACCATTGTTGGATATTGTTAACTTTTCGTTCAAAAGGGTTGTTTCTTAATGTTTTCATACAGCCTCATCAACAAAATATGTTGTCATATTTGGGATTTTTAGCTACTCAGACAGGTGAAAAAAATGCTGTTGTGCTGTAATTTTAGTGGGTATTTATCATATTACAAGCAAATATGGTCATTTTTTTTTTAATGGGTAAGAGTGATTTGTATTTTGTTTTCTTTGAAATCTAGCTTTACACTACTTTTCCTATTAGGTTATTGGTTGTTTTATTTATTGTGTTATACTTTTATGATCCACTACAACTTTTTATGTTGACATTTTTATTTTACTTACAATACTGGCTTTTTAATAACATTTTCATGGTTATCAGCTTGTAGCATATAATAGTGTTTTATGAATTTTTTATAATTGCTGAATAATATTTATTACATGGATACAGTGTATTTGCTTACCCAGTCATCAATTGATGGACATATAACTTTTTTCTACAGTGTTTTGACTAGTATAAACATTTATGTACAAGTTTTTTGTGCATATTTTTATTTTTCTGAGCATATTCCTACAATTTTGAGAAATTGCTACATCTTTTCCCAAAATTTCTGGCACTATCTTAGATTAACACCAGCAATGTGTAAGAGTTTTAATTTGTCCTTCTAACAGAGTTTAATAGTGTTAGTAACCACAGGAAAACCTGTTGATATTTGTAAAGGAATTGTATTGTATTTACAAATTAATTTAGGGAGAATTATCATTTTTAAGATGACAGATCCTCTTATTTAAGAAAGTAGCTTGTTCTTTCATTTGATGTATTGGTGATTGAAAGCTTTTTAAAATTATTTTAGTCCAAAATCTATGTTAGAAAAATATTTCTTATTAAATTTATAGCTCAGTATTTTATTGATTGCTGTTGTAAGTGGAATACCCTCTTTCCTTACGTTTATTAACTATGAAATGCTTCATTATCCACTGTTCTGTTCGACAGCCGCCAACGTAAGAGGACCACTTGTGTTCAAGCATTTTATCATTTTGGGGAAGGTATTTAAATTACTGGAGAGAAGTTGCTGGTATTATCTTGTGCTAGAGCAATCTTCATAGAAATATAAGATTAATAAACAGTAGCATAAACATTGAAAAACAGCTTGGAGGGGGCCGGGGAGATGGCTCAGTGGAGTAAGTGCTTCCCTGGCAAGCCCATGGGCCCTAGTTCAATCCCTGGTTCTGCAAAAAAAAAAAAAAAAAAAAAAGAGAGAGAGAGAAACAGCTTGGAATAGAAATAATTTGTTTTTGTGTTACTTTTCTCAAGTATATAGAATTCTAAGCACCTCTACTATGGGAGGAGTCAATTTGTTTCAGTTTCACTTTCCCCTCAAAGTTATTAATTTACTTTGAACTTTTGTTTTATGAAATTTCTGGCTTTACCACCTTAAAAAATTACTGCCAGTGGAAATCAGAACAATACTGTGGACATCTTACAAATCTTGTATAACAGCAGACGTAACAGGAAGATCAGTCATGTTATTGAACATTGTATAGACACTCCCCTAGATTAAAGGGATTTTGTAAGTAAAATTTGATGCCATATAAAATTTGCTCAGGTAGCACAGATAGTTCACTTATTCCTAATAGAAGTTTTTCTTTTATAGGTCCTCATTAATTTTGTAATAGTAGCATCACAATTACTAATGAATGATTAGTAACAAAATGGAAGTAAGGCTTTCCTTTCACCTCTACAATGTACACATTTCTGTAGTTTATTTCATGGAAACCATGAGAACATGGAAAATGGAGAAGAAACAGCTCTTACAAATCCCTTAACCAGTTTTTAATTCCTTATCCCACAGATGAATGTAGGATACAGAGATCGTGGTTTATTGGTGCAGCAGGTACATGTAAATAAAGCACATTGGGGAAAAGGAGGTTTTTTTAATCAGTAATGGCTCTAAAGTTTTTCTGTAGAGGAAGAGATAAACTGTAATTTGGTTGAAGTGACATACTACCTGAATACATGCTACCTGATGAAGTGACATACTACCTGATGACATTCTACTAAGACACTACCATCATTTTTTATGCTAATGTTGCATATAGAATATAATTTTTCCTACTTGATTCAGTAAATAACCTCTAAGATAGACATTGTACTGTTTCATTTTCTTTACCAAGCAGAAGAACACCTTTAATTATATTGGCAATTTATTTTGAAATAAATAGACTTGATACAAAGAACATTCCTTAAATTATTGGAAGGCACATATTAGAAACTTAAATGTGAATAGTGTATTTAATCTTAATGTTTGCATATCTTTGAGAGTTTTTGTTTTTAACATTGTAATTTAATAATCTTACTGGTTCTCAATTATTAATTTTTGTTTTATTTTAGAGGCCACATCATCTTAGTTCCAGAATTTAGTCTTCCTCTAGAATACTATCTAATCCCCTTCCTCATTATTGTGGGCATCTGTCTCATCCTGATAGTCATTTTTATGGTAAGTAAATTAATTTTTATATTTTTAGGAGAAAAGAATGGATAGATCTGAAAAAAAATCAATGTATTGAGTGAAAGAAGCCTTATAGACAAGAGTACATATTGTATGAATCAATTTATATAAAGTTCTGGAAAAAACAAAAACGATAGAGTAGAAAATAAATCAGAGCAGTAATTGCCTATAGGGGGGCGAGAAAGAGGTCAGGAACTTGTTGGAAAGAGATGAGGGAACTTTTGGGGGTGATAGTTGTGTTCTATATCATGGTAGAGGTTTGGGTTGTACAAATGTATGGCATTTGTCTGAATCCGTCAAATTGTTTTTTTTCTTATTTTTATTTATTTTTTTTTAACATTTATTGTGTGTGTGTGTGTGTGTGTGTGTGTGTGTGTGGCCAGCTCAGCCCACCAGGGGGCGCGGCTGGCCGGCATGTGGTGCTGGAGGATTGAACCACGGTCGCTGTGCTTTGCCAAGCTTGTTTCAAGTAGGTGCTTTAGACCACTGAGCCATCTCTCCAGCCCCTGAATCCATCAAATTGTATACTTAATTTTATGTAAGCCATTGTATATAAGTTCTACCGCAAAAGAAAGCAAAAACAGTGTGCAAAAAAAACCTTAAACTCTTAGCTAATGATACGTGTGTGGTCATATTTTGAGGAAGTATACCATTGTCTGTAACTTTGTTTTTGTTTTTGTCTACTTGTTGCACTAAAAAATTTAGCAGAAATTTGTTAATTCTAAGTAAAATAATGTTCAAGGTGTTGTTTGCATTTGTTAAATTGACACAACACTTTGCAATTCAAAATGCGAGCTTAAAATTGTACAATACCTATAGTTTTTTAAAGCAGCATTGCTTTTAAGTTCTTTTAACATTAATTTATTTTTATTAGCACATGTTTGCAATACATATTGATTTAATTATATTGGCAATTTATTTTGAAATAAATAGACTTGATACAAAGAACATTCCTTAAATTATTGGAAGGCACATACTAGAAAATGGGTACTGTAGGAAATGGGTACTGTACACATGGCGTATTCGTTTTACTAAGCTGTCCTTTCCAGTCCTTCTATCTCTAGATCCTCTTCCACTTTAATAGTTTCCCTATAATGGTTTCCTGTTATATTTATTTTATTCTTTATGCTATTCATACTTTGAATTTCTTATATAAGAGAAACCATGCAGTGTGTGCTTTATTTATTCATTTAGCATTATGGTCTTAAGGTTTATCCATTTTCCTACAAATGACTCATTTATCTTTCTGTCTGAATGAGTAATACTCCATTGTGTGTGTGTGTGTGTGTGTGTGTGTGTGTGTGTGTGTGTGTGTGTATCATGTTTTCTTTATCCATTGATGGGTATATAGATCACTTCCAAGATTTAACTATTATGAATTGTACTGCTATAAACATAGGTGTGTGTATATTACTATATCTTTAGCTCTTTTGAGAAGATACCTAGAAGTAGTGTAGCTGACTCTAATGAATCTTGAGGAATTTTCGGTTAATTTCCGTGTTTGTACTAGCTTACCTTCCTACCAACAATGTAACAGGGTTCCTTTTTCTCTACAGCTTTACCAAAAATGTTACTATTTGATTTCTTAGTAGTTGCCATTCTTTATGGAGTAAGATGGAAACTCGTTTTAATTAGCATTTCTCTAATGGTCAGAGATGCTGAACATTTTTTCATGTGCTTATTGAGAAGTATCTATTCACTTTAATTGACCACTTTTGATTAGGCATTTTGTTTGGAAAAGTCTAATTTTTATGAACTCTTTATATATTCTAGGTATTAGTCATCTGTTGGAGGAATAACTGGCACATTTCTCCCATTTTTTATGTTGTGTTTTCATTCTGTTTATTTCCTTTTCTCTACAAAAGCTTTGTACTTTGCCATAATTCCATTTATTGATTTTTTTTTTTTTTTTTTTTTTTTTTTGTGGAACTGGGGATTGAACTTTGTCCCTTGTACTTGCCAGGGAAGCACTTATTCCACTGAGCCATCTCCCCGGCCACCTTTTTATTGATTCTTGATATTTCTTGTGCAGTTGGTGTTCTATTCAGAAAATCCTTGCATATGCCTATGTTTTTAAGAGTTTTATTTATCTTTCAGCAAATTCAGTGCTTCTGTTTTAATATCTAGGTTTTTGATCTGTCTTGATTTTATTGTAGTGCAGGGAGAGATGTGTGGGTCTAGATTTCAATCTTTTGCATGTGGATAGCCAGTTTTCCCAGCATTCTAACTAGAGAGACTTGCACAGAAGAGACAGGGTTTCTGTACCCTAACTGATCTTCAGTATGAAGCACAAAAACAATAAGTATATGAAAAAGTACAGCAACAAGTTGCCTCTAAATCTTTACCTCCTCAAAAGCTAATGCCATAGACACTGAAGTAGAGGAAATTTGCTGGTAAAGACCTGAAAAATGAAATGGTCGAAATGTCTGAAGATCTTTTCTTTTTCTTTTTTGTTTTGTTTTGCTGGCTCAACCTGCCCTCAGGGTGGCAGGGTGTGTGGTACCGGGGATAGAACAGCAGTTCCCTGAGCCTGCCTAAGCTTGCCTAAACAGGTGCTTTAGACCACTGAGCTATCTCACCGGCCCCAAAGATCTTAAAGAAGAAACACATAAGAAATTTCATAAGGTGTTTAGTCAGCTTAAAAATAATTTTATTATAACAGATTTTACTAATAAAATGTTTGATGAGCTTAGGAAAGAAACAATGAACTAATTGAATTAAATAAGACAAGATAGAAATGTTCACTTTGGTAAAGCATTAGAGTTTATGGAAACAAGCTAGCAGAAAAAGAAAATATGACACATTCAGTAGAAAATATGCCTAGCAGATTTGACCAGTATGAAGACAGAATATCATAAATTGAAGACAAAGGGGATGTAGTAGATTATAAATCCAATGATACCCTAAGAATGAGAATGTGACATGCAGGCTAGATCTAACAACTGCTAGAAGACACAAAGAGCAATACCAAAATTATAGAAATAAAAGAAAACTTAGAAGGTAATTCAAAGGTTTAAAAAATTTACTCATTGAAATCATAGCAGAAAACTTTCCAAATGTAGGGAAAAAATTCACTATTCAAGAGATGTACAAAACCCCAAATAACCAGAAAAGAAACCCTCCACGACACATTGTAATCAGTTTTCTAAAAGTTCAGTGAAAGGAGAGAATGCTAAAAGCTGGAGAGAAAACTCAGCAAGTTACTTATAAAGATGAATGTATTAGATTTACAGTAGGTTTCTCAGCACAAACATTAAAGGGAAAGAAAGCTTTCTGCCAAGTTTTTCAAGCCCTGAAAGAAAACAGTTGTCAACCCAGACTTCTTTAAACTGCAAAATTAGCCCCCAGAATTGAGAAGTAACGAGTTTCCCTGACAGACATACCTTAGGCAATTACAGGACCATCAAGCCAGCATTGCAGAAAATACTCAAGGGACTACTGGGTAGAGATGAGGAGGCCACCAGCCTTAAAGAGCCCAAAGGAAGATAAACAGAGACGCTAAGAGGTGGTGGGTGGGAGAAGGAAAAGAAAGCGGAAGGAGGAAAATCAGAAAGAAAGTGCAGAGAGAAATAATGATTGAAAGAAAGAGGGTAACTCATTTTCTGTTGTTATTATTTTTATATCTTGAATAGAGGGCTGGTGGAGAGAGGGTTTGAGAGAGTATTTGTGAGAGCAAGAAAAGGGATCCAAGGTGAGGGAAGCTTTGGAAGGTGGGAGCCTGATAATATGTCCCCCCCCCCCCCCTTGTTACCTTGGCTGCCTTCCACGGCTGTGAACTGTTGCCCCTCTGCCTTCTGCCAACCTGCCCTGGAGCCAGCTAATTAGAGACTGAAACTTGTACAAACTGAAATCTTCCCCCTTTAACTTTGGGTGTGAGACATTTTGTCTCAGCATTAAGAAAAGTGTACAGTGCTGGTAAGGGTTACCCAACTCTTCATGGAATGTCCTACTCAGGTTAAAGTGGTGGTTAATTATTGTTCTTCTTTGCACATATCTAGAGACCTCCTATATATGTGGTGGATGAAAGGGAAAGCAAGAGAGGGAAGATCAAGGAATAAGAAAGAGACAGAAGATACAAACAGGAGCGATGGGGGAGGAAAGGAAACCAAAACAAACCACAGAGTTCCAAAACCACAAAGCGTCCTCACAGTTTTATGTATGTTGCAGCCTGAGCTCAACAAGTGAGCTCCCCCACCCCCATTTTCACAAGTGAAGCTTTAACATGTAGGGTTGAGGGTTCTGGACACATTTCAGGTCTGGTTCTCTCTCAGACCTCCATCCTCTCCAAGTGTCGCTGTAACTGGAAGGCACTTTTTCCCCCCTCACCTTCCTCCTGGTCTCCACACTGGTCTCTTTACAGTGACCTGTCCTGTTACGTGCTGGTGATTGGTGGTCCTCATGGATCACTTAGCCCACCTCCACCCTGGAATCCATACTGTAGGATGACTAACTGGAAGCCTTGCCTCTGTCCTAAGGTCAGATCCCTCAGTTAAGTCACAAAGTGGAGGTTACGGTGTGGCGCCCTCAACACCTGGTTTTCTGCTGATTTCTGCACTGGTCCATTAGATCTCTGCCCTCTTTTTGTGTGCTGAACATTGTAACACTTCTGTTCTTCCTCCAAAAGCCTTCTGGCAAACATGCCACATGTCATCTGTGGCTAAGGTGCTACTCTCTGGCTCTCTATCTGTTGTACTTCCCTCTTCACTTTCTGCCTTGTCACTCTCCAGCCAGCGAACTCTATGGTGACTCAAGGCTGGGCTCCAATTTGCAGTCCTTCTGCCTCAGTTGCCTATGGGGTTAGGATTACAGGCATGTCCCATCATGCTTGACTGTAGTTTCCTCTGTTATTTAGCACTTTAACATGAGCTTTGTCTTGGTTACTGTCTCATTGCTGAGACAAAATACTAACACTCACAAGTTAAAGGAGGAAAGGTTTATTTCAGCTTATAGTTTGTAGAAATTTCGATCCATAATTGGCTGGCCCCAAG